AAAACTTTTGTAATACTAGTGCAATTATCATGTGACAATGCGCTATATATTGTGAAGTTACATTACAGCTTCGTAAGTTACAAAGTAATTTCATGTAAAGGAAAAATGTAATTTTGTGCAATACAACCCTATTTGCAGGCCTCTAGTCTGAAACTATGAAAGATTTTTAAGACGTTAAACGGTTCCACTTCTGATGGTTTCGAGCTGGTTCTGGATTAGTTCTGGTACTAAAACCCAACCGTAAATCAAAATTAAAAAAAAGTTTTTGGTCTAGATTTATAACATACGAAATATCAAAATTTTTTGGTCTTAGATGAAAGTCAGTTGAATTGTAAGATACAAGTGTTAATTTATGAAAAAAGTTTAAATTTGTCCTTTTCTTACAAAATACATAAATCGCCATATTATTTTATAAGAGATGAATACTATCCTAAAAATCTTCTGACTTTACACTTGACTGATACTAAGCGTAAATCAAGTCATCACACCCCATAACAAATATTTTTTTATGATTAATCAACTTCTTGAGTTCTAACGCGGGCTTTAGCATTTATAACTCTTACGTTCAACTGTTGAGCTCTATCAATAATTGCAATACGTTTCCTTGAGCTGACATTGTGGGCAATCTCAGCTGCATAAGTTTTGTTATGCATAAGTAACAACTCTAATTCTTTAACGTTAGAAACAAGGAATTTTTTGAACCCATTTGGCATCAAATAACGAGTTTTTTTGTTCGATCCATATCCAATTTTAGGCATAGGAAGTTGTCCCTTGAATCGACGCCGAACTCGATTGTCGATACCCTTAGGTTTTCTCCATGCTTCCTTTATTACAAAAATAGGATTAAAGATCTATGTAATAATTTTCGAATTTAAGTTTTCGAATTTATTCAGCTGTACCTTCACAGATTTGTAACGATCAGATTGATGTCTCTTAAAAGGCTTGTTACGTTTCTTAACAATCTTGATTTTTGTAACGGGATTAACCATTTTTTTTTTTTTTATTACTAAAATTAGTACAAAGACAAATGATTTTTTTTTTGTTAGTATGCTATCAATCCTTATTATCTCTATGATGAATGAACATTTCTTATCCATTCAAAAATAATTATTACTATTAAATTAAGAACAACTTACTTAAAAATGGTTGAATAGAAGAGGTAGGATCAAAAAATAATTTTGTCGAAATTTATATGAAATCAGACCAATCAGTAGTAATTATACCCCGTGCTTAAAAAAATTAAAAGCACGTGATGAATATGTAGAGCTGGTGAAACTGGTGAAACTGGTAATACCGTGATACTACGTAGTGATATAATCAAAGTAAAATAACCCCTTTTTGGGACAATCGTTTCACCGAAATTTAGTAAAAATATATACCTGCAACTAATCAAATGCTTAGCCCGGTGAAATGACTGTCGGTGAATTGATCGAAACCGTATGTGTGGGGCTTATCGATAACTCATTTGCTGACAGTGTTCATGCCTACCTTCATTATACAGTAATTCTAAAAGATGCTATCAACACATCTATTATTAGTTAAATACAGTTCTAATATATTAAATACAGTTCTAATATATATTGGTTACATTTTAGCATCAAGAACCCATACCCATGATTACCTACCCAACCAATGAGATACACCTCTGTGTGATGGTTGGGATGAGTAGGCTCTAAAACTAAATATCTTAAAAATTTATAGTAAAAGTATCTAATAAAATTGGCATAAAATTATTAAGGGTATATTTATTACTCACCCGGGGTGAGTCTCATCCCCCATAACAAAATTTGAAAAAATGCTAATACGTATCTCAAAATTTTTCTAACGTAACCCCATCGTGTAACATAAGCAAAAATGAAAAATGTTCCTTTCGCAATTTTACTTTAGGCTAACCCTAACCCTAACCCTAATTCTAACCCTGTACTTAAGGGGTGAGTAACTCATCCGGGTGTCAAATAAATTATTTATTAACGGGGTTATAATTTCGTACTTTTGTGAATGTTAATACGAATTTTTATAATTAGTAGATAGATGATAACGTGATTTTTTTTACTTATTCTTGCTAAGTAAATTTTCATAAAGTTCTCAATCAAGGATTATCAAAACATTTGTCACATATACTCTTTTTTGGTAGGATCTACTTGAGCAGTTTAGGAAAAAAAGTTATGTTTTTAAATAAGGACGAATCTAATTGTAACAACATGTTACATGTCACAACTATTAGTAGAGCCAATAAAATACCTTAATTTGCGTGTAACCTAAAAGCTAGATACTAAATATTATTAGCTAACTGCAAGGTTGTGACATGTAACATGTTGTTACAAATACATTTATTTTTTAAATAATAGTAAATCTATTTGAATCGTAAAGATTAATAGTGGTAATGGTAATTGTAATAGTAAAATAGTACTAAAAATTTTGACTTAAAAAAAAATTATAAAAGAAAATCTTAAAATGGTAAAAATTTTAGCTTTGTAAGTTCTTTGCTCTATGTTTATTCATTATCTTTCAAAGTTTTTACTTTTTTTTTGTTTTTTTTTGTATCAGATTTTTTACCAGACAGATAAATTAATAATTACTAATGTTAAAGTCATAGCAAAAGAATTTGATAGTTCTTTTCAAATCTAACTGGTGGTTTTGCTTTCAAATGACTATTGATTAAAAATTAATATATATATATATATACATAAATTTGAAATAACTAATTTTAACATTTTAAGTAGCTGTCTTACAAAATTTTTTTATTCTTTGTAATAATGACCAATTGAATTTCAGGATCATGTAATATGATTGTCAAAATAAATATGTTTTGTTTTCTAAATAAAAAGTTATATATAAAATTAAAGTTAAGAAAACTGTATTATATTTAGATTAGAACTAGAATAATGTAATATCTACAAATAAAATTTTACAAAAAATATTTTTCATTAGACTATAGAAGGCAATTTTCTAATTAAAATTTAGAACTATTCTTGTTTTTTTGCTTTATCTTGATTTTCATATTATATCTAATTATAAAATTTGGTTGGTCATTATTACAAGGGGTGAAAAAAATTTTGTAAGATAGCTAGAAGCTTTAATAGTAATAGTTAATATAGATACAATAGTTAAATAAATACTGATATAATAAATATCAATATATATTTATTAATTTTTTTTTTAATTTTAAAAGATGAGATCATGTCTTTAACTTTATTGAAATTTAATTGAGTTTCTTTATATAAATTATATATAAGAAAGAAATTATATTTGAAAGTCATATCTAATAGATGTTAAGACTAGAGACTTAGACACAATATTATAATAATATAATTATCTGGGGCCTAAACCTATCTGTGTGGCTAGAGCTTACCTAGATTTAGCAATTTAAAAGTATATTATGAAAGTTAAGTTAATATTTAATTCATTTTAGAAGCTATAGTTCAAATTTGTGACTAGCAACTTAATGAAATAAGAACTAAAATTAAGAAAATAAAATAGATGAAGATGATAAATAAGTAAAAATATTAGCTTAAGATCTAGAAATGCAGTATGAGATCCAAATAGAGGTGTAAATTTGTTTATTGAGATATAATAAGAATTTGATAATAAGAGATACTGCAGTTTTGTTAGATAACATAATATCAGCAAGAGCTAATATAAGTTCAATAGAAATAAAGCCTAAAAGTATTAATAAGAGAGATGGTGAATTGGATAAGTTGTGAATTTACATATATTAAAGGTTCAAGATTTGCTGATGTATATTAAAAATAGATTCAATTGGTGAGTCAAGACTTAATGAGATAATTGTTAATTAAAGTAAGCTAGAAATTAAATTTTCAAGTAACTGCAAGATTGGATATGCAACCCAAAAAAGCATAGTGCTAACTTGATTATATTGGTAGCATATTGATGAATATGCAGAGTTACATTTGTATAAAATATGTGGAGTAGGCAAATTATTATACAGAATTTTAATGCAAAATGATTTTAAGATAGATAATTGAAAGCTGTGTTGATAATTAGATATCTTTTAATTGTTATTAATATATAGTTAGGTAGCTTGCTAGTGAATTTGACTAGAAGTTTGAAACTATTGTTAAGCTCGATTTTAAGATGACTAAAGAGTATAGATTTAAGCATAGCAGATTATAAAAATACATCGTCAGATTGGTAGTTCAATAGAAAAGTTGTCAAAAGAAAGAAAATAGTTAAGGTTATATATATTATGTGGATTAAATATTAAATAAGATAAATTAATTAATGATCTGCCAGTTAATCAAAGAATTTTTAATATTAAATGTGATGCAAATCACATATAAACAAAACTCGAATTGAAAATTTTAAATTATAAGCAAAATTATAAAATTTTTAATCAAATACAGTATTAAAATAGTATAAATTATAGAATAAAACTATAAGCTTTCGATTATAATATCATTAAATATTAATTTTTTAGAGAGAAACTTTACTTTATAAGTATGCTGCATTTACTATATTAAATCCTATATTAATTAAATATTAAAATAATTTGTAATACTTAATTTTTAGACAATTTTACAACAGATTTATAAATATTTTTTAATATTTAGATTTTTTTAAGATGTATTACATTTACGTAATATAAAATCTTAAAATATAATAGATTTTTAAGATTTGTATTTTGGTTTTTTTTTTATATTCGTCATTTCAGTATTGTCTAAACTAAAAAAAAATACAAAAACAATACACTAACTTAATTAGGTCTTAAAAGTAGTAATCTTAGATCAAATAAAAAATTATTTACAAATACATTGCACAAGAATAATTATCTTAGCAGATTTAAGATTTGGATGGTTATAAGGTTAGAGTTAGACTATTGTATTACTATTAGAGTATATATTATACCAGGTTGATAAAAAGTAACTAAATAGTGACCTTTTTTTAATACCCTTTTTTAATCATGATGATAATCACTTTAATGCTTAATAATAATCGATATAAATTAAAAATCATAATATATAATTTTTTTATCATACACTATGTCTTATTATATCATTAAAGAATATACAGAACTTGTAAAAATTTATTTTAAGAGAAATTCATTGGAAAAAACTGCCAATATCTTTCATATTAAATATCTCAATAAATTTAAACCTGCTTCAGCGACTATTTATAATCTTGTAAATAAATTTACTAGAACAGGAAATGTTGCAGATGATCATCATTCTGGCTGTCCAATAAGTGCAACTGTTCTTCAAGAAAATCCACAACAATTAACAAATAAACTTGCAACAAAAATTAATATTTCTCCTTTTAGTATTTAAAAAATTTTAAAAATTCATAAATTTCACCTTTATAAGTTTCAACTTCACCAAGAGCTTCTTGATAACGATTCTAATTTGCAACTTGAATTTTGTAATAAATTAATAATACTTATTATAAATGATGAAACATTTATCTCTCATATTTGTTTTACTGATGAAGCAGTTTTTTATTTGAATGGTGAAATAAACAAACATAATTGCCATTATTGGAGTAAAGAAAATAAATATATCCTAAGAGCTAACAATACACAATATCTACAAAAAATTAATGTTTAGATGAGAATAATAAATAATTTCATTATTGGTCTATTTTTTATTGAAGGAAATTTAAATGAACCTAAGTATTTAGAAATGTTACAGAATATTATTATCCCAGAGTTGAATAATTTGTTTCCTAAAACCGAAGTTATTTTCAACAAGATGGAGCCCCTGCTTATTTTAGCAAAGATATTTGTAAATATCTTGATGAAACATTTTCTAATAAGTGGATAGGTCAAAGAGGACCTTATAAGTAGCCTCCTTGTTCACCTAACCTTGTACTACTTGATTTTTTTTTGTAGAGATACCTTAAATCTGAAGTTTTTAAAACATCTTCTAATAATATTGAAGAATTAAAGCAATGAATTATTAATAAATATAAAAATATTATACAAGAACAATTAACAAATATTAGATGTATATTTTTTAATCATCTTAGATACTGTATTGAAGTTGACGATCAACATTTTGAACAATTAATTTAATGTATACCAGGTTGATAATAATTTGGCACTATTTTTTTTAAACTTAATGTTTCATGAATTGTATGATTGATACTAGCCATTATGTACATATTGTTTTTTTTTTTTTTTGATGTTAAAGTGACCTCTTGGTCGCTTTCTTTTTATTCAGTTATTATTAACTTTTACAGTATGGTATACACCATACCGTATACATATTTGGAGAGTACAGACTAGCCACATGTGCAACT